TTGTGACATAGCATGATGTGCAATTCATATATATTTACATCTCTTGCCCCCTACTCTTCACAATGTGAATAATGTACATGAAATATCACAAACCGCATGTAATCTGCTATGTAACTTAAACATTAATAAGCACAGTAATATGCGTGGTACACTGCACATAATCTGGCATTGTGGTTTATTTAACATATAATTAAAGAATGCCCATATCTGATGCATAGTACGATCATATTCTAAAGCTTGTTACCTTCAAAATGCTTTTAGATCTATGGCTTGTTACAAGACACTATAATAAAATTATGGTGATGGTACACCAACTGTGAAGATCAGTCACACAGCATTAAGGAAACGATATCAATGGTAATAAATATGGAGATATGTGTATGCTATCAAATCCACCCATGCACACACGGGCTATTTATTGAATACTACATTGAATACTAAGTCTTCTGATGTGGCTGAAAAACTGTATGCTGTGGCAGTATATATTCACACACACAGGCACACGTCCACAGATACATGAATAATAATAATAATAATAACACAAACATAGCACATAATACCTCACTGTTATCTCTACCAAGGAGCTAAATATAACAAGGAGAGGAAGCGGATTGGCTGTGCAGACCGAACCCAGAGACAATAGAACACTAATCTGTTCTAGGGTCTCTGCCGAACCCAAATTTGGGCCAGATTATGATATGGCAGCGCTTCCTCTCCGTGTTATATTTAGCTCCGTGATCTCTGTGCTAATTGAATTAATAATAACTGAGCTAATAATTAATTAATTAAGCTAATTGAATTCAAGCTACAGCAAACCTTAAGGACATCAGTAGGATTAGCAAACGACGAAGACACAACGCCGGCGACAATTCCACAGATGACACTTGTCAGTAACGTGTTATCTGAAAAGATGTGGTCACATCTGTTGGTAAATAACCTAATGTCTAAATAACGTATATATAGCAATGTTTCACATTTATTGGTGTTTACTCATGTTAGTGTCATCACCAATCACAGCTGCATGCTTCACAACACAATGCAATGTTTCTATTTGTTTTACTACTAGAGTGGCAGCCGTTCTATTCCTCAGGTTGACTGCATGACGTCTGTTACATTTCCTGTTCATTTACATTGTCCTTTACATTTTCACCGTTTCCTTGTTTGATAATTGTGCAGATCAACTGACTGTACTAAGGAGGTTTACACTGAACACATACAATCAGGAGTGAATAACAATAGATTATTATTATTCGCTCCTGATACAATGAATCTTGGATTAAGTAGAATTAGGGTTTCCTGCTATTTCAATGTGACAGATCAGGCAACAGCTGCCAGAGCAGACATCTCAGCATATGCATGTAAAAATAAGAATTATCGACCACAGCCGAATGTTGAGTGAACTAACGACACGAGTAATCTTACCTTCTGGATTCTTGATTAGCATCTCCTTTAGAGAATAATAAATGCCTATTTTTATCGTGCCATATGTTGCTTGCCGTAGTAACGCTGGCGAAACCCTAAAACATGAAAATGGCTAACGTAGAACAAACATGTAAGTGAAAAGATTCTATAGATTCCACATTGAAAAACATTTTATACAGTTGCGACAAATTTAATATACAGATAGATACTTGTGACATAGCATGATGTGCAATGCATATATATTTACATCTCTTCACAATGTGAATAATGTACATGAAATATCACAAACCGCATGTAATCTGCTATGTAACTTAAACATTAATAAGCACAGTAATATGTCGTTGGTAATCACTGCGACATAAATCTTGGCATTCGTTTTATTTAACATGATAATGATAAAGAATGCCCATATCTGGATGCATAGTAGAATCATATTCTAAAGCTTTGTTAACCCTTCAAAAATGCTTTTGAGTCTATGCTTGTTAACAAGACACTATGAGGAATAATAAATATTGATGAGATGATGGTACAGGGCCAACTGTGATAGGATGAGCAGTCACACAGCATTAAGAGAGGCGAGATATCAAATGGTAATAATGTTGTTGGCCTATCAAATCCACACCATCGCACACAACGGGCTATCTTATTGCAATACTAACAGTTGAATACTAAGTCTCTTCTGACAGTTCGATGTGGCGGAAGAAACATGGTATGCTGGTGGCAGTGTAATTAGTTCAACGCGACACAGGGGAAGGACGCAGGCACGACGTCCACAGTATACATGATTATTCACGGTACACATGAGCCTGAAACACCTCAGACCACATAAAACGAGTGTACGGGAGGCAGGCTGCTTCGGTCCGTGGGGATGTAGAAATCGGGCGAACAGAACAGAGCGGGCGTCGCTGTGCTAGCGGGGAAACGGGACGCACGACAAGTCAAGCCCCAGCACTCATCCATGCAATCCAGCACGTCCCACACGTATACGATGGACAAGGCAGCAAACATGTAGGCTTATGCCTAAGAAAAAAACGATGATTTGTTTCCGCTACCGGAGCAATTGGAAACACGCGCGGGGGCGGGTGACGGGTTAACAAGCAAAACTTTTTTTATCATATATATTTTTTTTTATTCTAACAATACTTGTTTTACTACTTATAATACACCCATATAATGAACTTCAAAAGTCAGAATCAACGGGCGAATTCACCGATTGATATCACGTTTTTTTTAAATATGGGATTTTTTTTGGCCGATCACAATAAGTTTCGACACGGCAGTTTAAAATGGACATGCGAGTTAGCGGAAATAAACGTCTTTTTTAGGCCTTAGTTAGATACAGGTGAATACGGGCATGCATGCAGCACGCACGCACACAGATGCACAAATATCACTTTACTTATATGTGCATACGCAAAGACAAAAACAAATTCTTGGAAAATTAGTCTTCCAGCCTTCTCTCTATAATTAGAATTTTGACAACCGAATGTCCAGCCAATAACATGATTGCACTTACAGTAACACATCTCTCACTCACCCGGAGTATAGAGCACGGAAGCCCTCCTCTTTGGATATCCTGTACATTGCGTGAAGCATCCCTCGATACTTCAGCTTCGTTAACTTTGTATCTATATGCTGGCCTTGAATCTGGAGACGAGTCTTTGATGTGTCAATAGGGAATGTAACTGCAATGTCGAGATAAATAATTCATATATATCTGCTTCTTTGCTACTACCCTGATAAGTACTAATTTAGATCATTTAGGCACACATTTGTTAAATCTAAATAGAGCGAGGTTGTAAAAATTTTCACAAATTAAAAATTTATGCAACTAAAGTAATTACTCCTAGTTTACTTTGAACTTGCATAACAAGCTAACATAATTTTAGAATTTTGGAATGATATGAATCACTTAAATGCTGTGCTTAATACATCGAGGTGCTTACAGAACTCAGCAAATACAGATGCTCCCCCACCATAGATAAATGGTCTCCAGTCAGTGAATGCCATTATAACACTGTCTATTGTCTCTATCACAGATTTTGCTTGACAGCAATATGACAATTGGATCACAAATGAGCTGAGACTTTCATGTAGAGTTCGCTCATGAAGAGATGTACACCAACTTTAGTAACACCATGTGTTAGGTCATGTATCAGCATAAACCGACCAGGCTCTCCGACTGTTATTAGCGAGATGGCAACTTGTGGCTAGTATCAGCACTACTTCGCTGTCTGAGCTTAACAATGATTTTCAGAGCGAAGTTTTCGTCTGGTGCTTCCTCAGGACAGTTTTGCTCCAGTGTACGGCCCCATTAACCAATACACTACAAGTTATACTCTCTTAGGCGTCCTTCACATATACACACAGACAAGTATTTACAGCTGGTTGATGGATGTAGAAAATCTTTGGTTGAACTGAAACAAACAAGACACATACAAATATGAAGTACTGTTATTAGCAACATGAACAGTGAGTGCAATTGTGACTAAACTCTAACATGAATATAAACCATCAAATGTACAGGGCTCAGTATAGCTCTAGGACTATAGCCCATGTTACGCGGGCTATAGTCTTAGAGCTAGGCTCAGTACCGGTACTACAATAGATTGTGTCACACACTGACACCGCCATGGAATCTATTTTGCCAAAATATCTCAAAGGAATGTGATACGGACTGGCACAGATAACCTAACGAGGCTTTCTAAGACTGAGTACGCACGACATTATCAGTATAACAATTATAAACAATATTTGCATGGTATTTGCACTAGAGACTAGAGTGATAAGCAGATCATCTAGAGGTCATTTGTCTCCATGCAGATGATCACGATGCACATTCGCTAACTCAATACATAGTTTTCAGACAAACGGTCAGACTCAAAGTACTATTAACTACAAGGATGTTACTCAATCGCCCGGTTAAACTTGTTACGCTTACCATCGTATTACCGACATGCGTTGTACTATTAGTATTAGTATTACGTAAGAACGATCAAGTCTACGGAACCAACTATTTTTGGTGAAGGTTTCACTGCTAGACAAGCAGTTGCTTTGACTACAGTAGCAACAATTTGCGCACAAGATTATTCATACACACCTACATATACTTATTATCAAGAGCTAATAAACACCTATTATTTATTAGCTCTTTTTATTATATACACTTACATGCGAATCCCTATGCATATTGTATGAACGGACAACAAGGTGATGAATGAATGAATCCGACCGCTCTTTCACTCACCTGCTCCAAGGCTGCCACTTGTTTACGCATTGTGACGAAAGAGCCATCTGTTGGCTGGTTTCGCAACCAACACAAAAATAACATAGGAAACAGCAAACCACGAGAACAATATATCGTCGAATATATCTACATGCGTATACACTGGCGTAGCTAAGGGGGGGCACAAGGGGGCCATGGCCCCCCCTGTTGATTGGCAAACAAACAAACAAACAAAATTTTCCTTGCCTCACGCGTCTTTACAGGACTGGCCACAATTCCTCTTACTTCTGCATCTGCTGAACGAACATTCTCTAAAATGAGCATTGTCAAGTCTAAACTTCGTTCTACAATGACCCAGCCACGATTCTCGAGAAAACCCAGTACAATAAACTACTACAAAACAGCATAACCGCTACCTACAAGAAAGCAAACCACAAAGCCATTAACACCATCAACCAAGAAGCAAAAAGAATAGCAACCCAACTCCATATCGACGAAAGAACAGAACGCATAGCAGAAAGACA